TGAAAATACCTGTGAGGGTGGGGTCGAGGGGAAGGGCATGCAGAGGTCAGTAAGGCGAGGCCTTTGGGAGGCCTTACCAAGACTTCCCACCTGTTTGCTGCTGCTCACAGCCTTCTCATGCTCTTCCTTCTGCTCTGGTCTGTACACAGGTCAAGGGTAACTGCCCTTTCCAACTGGAGCCCAGTTTACCAGTGACCTTCCTCTAGCAACATCCACCCGTTTGCATCTTTCCCATCCTTTCTTTGAAACAGCCTCATCTTGAGAGTTTTGGATGTTTAGGGTGTGACTTTATAAAGATAGGGTTTCTGGCAATCACAAGACTAGTAATCTCCCAACTATGTTCTGGATTTCCTTTTTTTGTTTGTTTGTTTGTTTTCGTGAGGAAGATCGGCCCTGAGCTAACATCTGCCAATCCTCTTCTTTTTGCTGAGGAAGACTGGCCCTAGGCTAACATGCATGCCCATCTTCCTCCACTTTATACGGGATGCCGCCACAGCATGGCTTAACAAGCGGTGCATCAGTGCGCGCCCAGGATCCAAACCGGCGAACCCCAGGCCGCCGGCAGCGGAGTGTGCGCACTTAACCGCTTGCGCCACCGGCCGGCCCCTAGATTTGTTTTGAAATAATATTCTGGCCCAAGCTTGACTAGGTAAAATGATGAATGGTCTAAGATAGGAAGATTGGTTCATGGATATGCCTCACCAGTTTTTAAACTGAAAATGTGGGGTGAGGGGGAAAGTGTGACCAAGTAGTATTCTGTGTTTTTTAATTTGCTTTGGGAATAGTGTAATAAATGTGTCATTTTCTAAATATGGATTATTCACGGCCTATTTTAAAAATGAGCCAGCTCCTGACAGGCGAGTTCCCAACAAGACCTTGGGTAGCCTCCCCTCCTGTCCAGTCCTGATATGTGCAGGAAATAGAACCTTATTTTAATAGCTTACATTAAACATAATTTTTAAAGTTAGTCAACTGTGAGAATTATCATTTTCTCAAAATATTTGTACTTGGATCCTGTGCATTAGCCTGCTTGTGTCTGAAGTCAAGAAATAAATAGGATTTAAGCACCTTATTCTTGACCTGCTTTTTTCACTATAGAAACCAGGAGACGGATCAGTCCTCCTAGGTTTTGTTAAAAATGTCTTTTAAGAAGTGCTTGTCACAGGGGTTGATCTCCATAATATATAAAGAACTCACACAACTGAACAACAAAAAAACAAACAACCCGATCAAAAAATGGGCAGAGGAAATGAATAGACACTTCTCCAAAGAAGATATACAGATGGCCAATAGGCACATGAAAAGATGTTCAACATCACTAAACATCAGGGAAATGCAGATCAAGACAAC